AGAGCTGCCACCGCCCCACGCAGCCCCCGGGACGGGATGGGGCTGCAAGAGCAGCTGGAAAAGCTTCTGCTCCACCTCTCCAGGAGAGCGGAGAGGGACGGCTCCCCGGAAACCTGCGTCACCGTTATCCAAGTGCATCTCACGCAGCAACTGAGTAACAGTCGGAATTATTCCCCTTTCAAGCCAAGCATGTTATTTACAGGACGGGTTTGCGTTCTGAGCACTAACAGCTGCTTTGGAGCCTGAACTAAATGCCACGCTGGGGGAAATCGCAAAATAAAACCTCAGTGGTGTACCAGGAAAAGCCTGCTTTCTGCCACACTCCTGGGATTCCTGATCTGAGATCCCTTTACTGACTTATCTTGATTTTACCCATACCAAATGATTTATTCACTTATTATCAAGTTATTTATTATCTTAAATCATCTCCTCTGGAAAAGCCCTGATCTGGTCTTTCTTCTGTCCATCTGCATTCAATAATTCCCTGACCCATAGTCATTTTCATTCTTCCCTGCTAACTCAGAATAAATCACTCTTTAAACATTCTTCCTTGCTGAAGTTTGGGGTTGAGATGATCTCAGTGATCTGAGAGGCTCACACTATCATCTGTCCTTTTGCACATCTATTCAATTCCACTGCTCTCCAAGTAATGCCTAAGCCATGGAAGCCTTTTTTCCTCCTCAGGGAGGGACTATAAGAGGGGAAAGGGTGGAAAACAACCATGAGCAACAGGTCAGTGCATTAGGCAGATCCTTCATTTAAAGGAGCACTGCATTCTCTTAACTGCAAGCTACTCAAGGTCACTGGGGTGACTAGGAAAAGCAAGCACTTCATGGCAGAAAGGATTTCACCACATTTTCTGCAGGTTAAAGGGGAGTCCTATCCACTCCACAACTCACACTGCAGTTGCCAACCTTGCCCATCAGTGCCTGGGCGTTTCAGGATCAATATAGCACGTGGTTTGACAGCAAGTCAGCATCACGTTTGCTGTCACTTAGATCTACAGTAACCCATCACTCCTCATGCTGGAAACTAGCAAAACACACTGTCAAGGAGGCATAACACAGGAGAAACTCTCCCAGGAACGCAAAGGAACCTCCAGTCACAACATCATGCAGTTGGGACCAAGCATCTTGCACCAAGCCTCCAGGTTATGCGCTCTCTGAAGTAGGCTTAAGGATCAATATTTGCTCCTCCCCCTTCCCCCCCCCCCCAAAAAAAAAAAACTGTGAGAGCAGCATCTGGGATAGCTATGCCAGGTATTTGTCAGATAAGGCCTATTTCATGCTTTGAACATGAGATTACCTGTGGCCTGTGATCAGGGACAGCCATGCTTGCAGCAGCAGGCCCCAGCAGGGTGGGCCTGCCTTCATTTACAAGGGCATCAAAATCCCTCAGATTCTCCTGGAGTCACCAAGACTGGAAGGTGCTCAGTACCACGCAAGTTTGGACCTTCACATTACAGAGCATCATCCTTATAGCGCAGATACATCTCTGGCAGCCTCGAAGCCAGCAGCCCTCATTTTCAATTTTATCATGTACCAGATGTGGGACAACACTCACAATGGACTTCCAGATACTGCTTTTTGACCCAAAGTCTCCATTCCCTGGACCCAAGGCCCATAGCCTGCCCTTTGCCCAGCTCTGCCTGGGGTCAGGGCATGATGCTTTGCCGTCTCCTGTGCCCTCAGGCTGGTCTCTCCAAGCTGCATTCCCACAGCCCCAAATAGAAGGGGCAAGAGGACCCAGTTATTACCAGCAGCACAGTGATGGGATGAGATCCGAAGGGCAGCAGCCTATGAACTGAGGGGAGCTAGAGGGGCAAGCCAGAGACTTGTCCCTACGTAGCGTCCTTGAGAATTGCTACTAGCTTAGCCCTGCCAAACCATCTCTATTTGTTCAGTTGTTAATCCTTTGCTTTCTATCTCATTAACTAGGAATTGTGATCCCTATAAGCACGGCTGAGGTCTAAATCCTCCTCTATTTTAATCCATAATAACACAGCAAGGTTTCTTTCAGCACCAGATTAAAAAAAAAAAAGATTATTTAGCATAACAACAACTTCAAGGAAGTTCATTCTGAGCTGGGTCTCCAGCATTATGCAACAACTATCCTAGAGAGCAAAAGTGAAATAAAGAATTGAAGTTATGACCCACTTCAGCAGAAAAAGACAGCAAAAGTTATCTAACAACAACTAAAATAAGGAAAATAATTTTTGAAGGGAGTTACTCAGAGGGCATGGAGACAAGCTAGACTCTCTGACAAGGTTTGCTAGAGCCTTTCAAAAAACTGTGATTCAGTACAGTTCTTGGTTTGGGGCTGACTGCTTGGTTTTAAGATATAAGGAAATATTTTTGATAAGGGCAAACTAAACCCAAGAAACAAAGACCCACAGGGGAAGTAAAAGAGTTTAGGTTTTTTCACTTGAGTTTTTAGGAATGTTTCTTCCTCCCCCTGCCCCCCTCAAAAAGGGTTTTGTTTTTATTCAAGAGAAAACTGAATTTCTATACATGGCTCTGAGAAACTCTTAGTAAACTGGAATGGATCTAAATCTTCAGTTTAGCTTCATTCTTATTTCATCTGAACAAGCAGACCTTTGCAACTGTACAGAAACCAGGCAATGTCACACCTTCCTTGCAATTCTGTAACAAATACAATTGAAGGAGCTCTGCGCTGCTGCCCAGCTTTAACCGCGCACAAGTTTAACTGCCAATGAGGTTTAAGAGCCTAATGCTACAAAGTCAACTAACTAAAAACCCCATAAAAGTCAATTTGCACATGCTACTTCTCTACAGAGAGAGAGGAGACCAAAAAAAAAAAAAAAAAAAAAAACCACCACAACAACCACCCACTCAGCAATCCCTTTAAGAGTCTCACAGCTCAATGTCTGCAGAACCATCCAGGGAATCTGGCTGTTTAATTTCCCCAGATTTCTTTAATAGTCTCAAGTGTAAACCTTTTACTCACAGTCTCCTCCTTAACAGGGCACACTAAGAACAAAATGCAGCAACAGCACTCCGAAGCTCTGAGTAACCTGCACAGCCCTCACTTCACCCAGGTGGTCTTTTCTAGAAACACTAAAACATAGCAAAAGAGTCTTTCATTAGAGACACGCAATAACTACCCCATTTCTGGTAAGCGGGGTAAAGGAGATAACAGGACATAAGGACTCAAGTTCTGGCAAAGTATTTGGTATTTATGAATAATTGAAGCAGCAAGCCTTCTCCCAAGGACACTGTTTTCTAGGTCACCTGACCAGGCCCAGACAGAGCAATAGAAGTAATAATTATTTCAATGGAAAGAGTCAGATTACTTAAAAAACAAACCAAAAAAAAGCCACCCATTTTCTCTTTCCCCTCAGATTGTGAATGGCACTCCAACAAAAGTCCCTTCACTTCCCATCTATGCGCATTCTTCCCTTGGAACTTGCATCTCGTGATCTCAGGCAATGCCAATAACTACCTGGGTCTCCATGTACAGCTTCTCATTTATTTTCATACTCAGTCCCTGACACAGTGTTTACACATTACAGTTCACACTTGAACGTGACACCTTCCCTGGTCACACAGCATGGGCAGCACCCGACAGCTCACCCACAGCTCTCAGGACCCCCGTCACAGGAGGAGTCACAGTTAGTGGGATGCAATGATGCCGAGATCTACACGTAGGGACCTCAGCCCTGCGAGTGGCCTCCTTGCAGTATCTTGGACAGCTAGCAGGAACATAGATATGAAGGATTATGCCTCATCTCTTGCTCTTATGAGTAAAAATACTTGACTATTTCTGATGCCTGGGCACTGCAGAAAGCCTTTCCAGTGGCACTTTGCCAGCATTAGCACTGAGTGTACAAAAGACCCATAGATGTGAAGACAATTAGATCACAGCTAGGCAAATAATTCATTATGAATTAATATCATCTGAGAGCTTGGGATATTTTCCATTTAATCATTAGCTGTGAGAAGAGATGATTGGATTGACTAACTTAGTTTAAATCAGATCTCTAGCCACAGTCAAGGCAATAAAACTCAGGAAACATTGCAGCTTACAGTTGCCCGCACTGAGATTTACTGAAGATGACTTCAGAGCTTTGTGGTTACAACAGTCAGCACCAACATACAGTTTTAGCTCAAAGGGGACAAAGCCAGACCCCCAGATCTCAACCTCTCCAAACAAAGTCGATTTTTAAATATAAGAACTTGAGCCCATCCTCAGTTAGCCAAGATGATCTCCATGCATTATTTATGCTGTGCTCACATTACAGCTACACAAAAAGGGGAAGTCAGCAAGGGCACCAGCCTGAAGCCGTTAAATAGAAAGAATGGGATGCTGAATTTGAGTAGTTATCTTTCAAGGTAGGCTATGCAAAGAACTTTTCTGGAAACAAAGCAGTCATGCTGACAATGAATTTAGCTGTCTGCCAAAGGGCAGACATTTTACAGAAACACAGTCAACAATAAAGCACCCAGTATCTCAATAAAAGTCAGTGGATTCTTGCTTTTGTCCTGAGCATCTGATAGGAGCACTCCGGAAACACCGACATCTCCACAGCATCCATCTTAAAACAGCCAGACATCTGGTCTGCATTTCAGTATTCCAGTTTCTCTGCAACGTGCACATCCCCCTGCCCCTTTATACCGTCATGCTCTCAAAAGGGGAGCTGAAACACCTCCACTCAATTTTCAAAAATGCTCAATAGCCTACACACTGCTCCCAGGGTCCGACCTTGAAAAAAGAAATCTCAAAAACAACATTCAAAAGGAAAAATTCATCCAAGCGACAAGGCCCACATCCCTTCTGCAGTTTCAGAAGGGACAGAATTTTCTAGGGGGAAAAAAACCTCCCCGGTCCCCCCGATGGGGCACAGCCCTCCTCCCCAGCCCGCATACCAGGCTCAGACATCTCACCAATACACCCAGGGTACATTTTTCTGCACCCTGTTCTCCAAGGAGCAGTTAGGGCCATATAAGAAGATATTACACTGTGCTCAAGCCAAACAGTACCTCCTCCAGGCCCGCAGGACGGCCGCCTCAGCCTCCGCC